TATACACACATTCTTTAGTTGCTGAGCTAGTAGTGGAGCAGCTAGGCTTCTCAAGATGTTGACTTTGTTCAAGGTATCCCTCCTGTTCTCTTTATTCTTGCCATCTGTTCATTCTGTTTGTGAACTGTTTCCTACTGGTGATCTCTTTGGTGATACAGTTGTAACTAATAGCCAGACTACTGAAATTTTAAACCAGGCTTTTTCAAGTCGAATACCCCTTGGCTGTCCGGGCACTAATGATGTTGGACGATTTGATGCAAGTCAATTAATATCTCCACATGTTTAATTCATGATCTTCCTTTAGATACTTGTTTCTGGTAAAGTAGTTGTGTCTCATTCATATCAAAATGATGCACCAGTTCTTACTTTTAATGTATTTAATGTTGATGATATTAATGACGTAAGTCTCTGTAATGTGTCATTTCGTTATACATTAGTTACAGAGGTCATCAGAACGTGCGCCGTTAATTCTTTTGACCAATATTTTCCAAGAGAAAAACTTACTGAAGGTAGTTTCAATCCAACCCATATCTTTTTGGTAACCTGGAATCTTACTCAAAGTATCTTAAGCTCTGGTGGTAATGAAATTAGTGATTTTACTTCTCCTGTAAGTATTATTTCTTCATTTTTGTATTTTTTATTTTCTGCATTTTTAGCGTAACATTTTTCAAATGGCTTATATACATGATGGAAAGCGTGCATTAATCTTTTATCTCTATGATACCATTCAATGGGGCAGAGACACTGCTACAATAGGCTTACAAGCCTGTGGTAGCAGTCCTAATGGAACATGGAATAATGCTCCTGCTTCTGGTCAAGTTGCAGCTTCTCAATCCAATCTTGCCACTAATAGAAGTGGAGAATGGCTCCTTTATTTGAATGGGACAGGCCATCTTACTCCTGCAGGTAAACTATGTTTTTTTCATAATAAAGTGACTGCTTTTTTTAGTCGTCTGTAAGACCGGTTGCAGTTTAACAAATGGTTATTGTACTGAAAGAGATACATGTCTTTGCAGAGAGGGTTGGTCAGGTGACCTTTGTACCGTTGCCATCTGCTCTCAAGGCTGTGTTAATGGTACATGCACAGCCCCTGATACTTGTGAATGCAATGATGGATGGCTTGGTCCCAGTTGTAATACGGCTAGATGTTACTCTGCATGCATTAATGGCAGATGCATAGATCCAGATGTTTGCTCTTGTCATCCCGGATTTGAGGGACAAAACTGCACTACAGCTATCTGTTCCCAAGACTGTGGTGCTTATGGTTTCTGCACAAGACCTAATCACTGTTCCTGTATTTCTGGCTATACAGGTGGGAGTTCTCCCTGCACTCCAGTTTGCACTAAAGCGTGCCTCAATGGAGGGAACTGCACTGCACCAGATACTTGTACATGCCCGCCTGGACTTACCGGTCCTATTTGCAATACAACAATTGTCCCTATCCCTACCTCCACTTCTAGTTCTGCAGTAGTAACCATGATGATGACAGAGTCACCATCACCTTCTATGACTGAGCCTACTACTGATGAACCTACTGATGAAGTTACCACCGCTGCTTCTGGGAGTCAATTATCTTCTTCAAGTTAGTATGATTACAAATAGTTGTGTATAATTGTGTGATTTTTTATTTATTTTCAATAGCTATCATTGCAATTATTGGTGGGATTGTTGCTCTCATTGTCGCTGTTGTTATTTAACCTGTCATTATCATCATAGCCGCTATCTCTTGTTGAAACTAATAATTATTTTTAAATGTTGAGTGATCATGCACATTTACTTTTGTGCTAATAATAATTAAATTTACATTGTTCACATTGGAATTTTTATTGATTTTTATTTTTGTGCATTGAATCATTATTATAGTTTATATTGTGTATATCTTCAGTTTTGCCAGTTTGCCACTCCTTCACTTCAGACTCCACCTCAATCCAATGGCTGGCACTAGGTCTGGCATATGGAAAAGAAAGATCTTTCTCCAGATGATGTAGATTTTGTAGAAAAGCCAGCTCGTCAGCTAGCTCTTGAATGCCCAATATGCATGGGACTACTTTTCCATCATCACATTGTGAACTGCTGTGGTTACCACTTCTGTGAGACTAGCAGACCCTCCGCCTACAGCCATTGGGTGATATTGAACTGTGGTCCAAAGAGGCTCCTCTGGCCTGTCGTAACTTCATACAATTGTGTTTAGAAGATTATTATAATGATACCATATTCCACAGAGTCGTTTTTGGTAATGGATTAATTATTATTAATTAGTGGGTGGAGTTGATGATTATTAATTAAGTAGAATGACCTATTGATGTTACGTTGCTTTCTTACATGTACATGTAATTTTTATCTCTCTCTCTCTCTCTCTCTCTCTCTAGAGTTTGTAGCTCAAGGTGGTGATCCCACTGGTACAGGAGAAGGTATTAATTATTAATAATTATTTGTACAAATACTTTTTATCTTCTCTTCAGGTGGTGAATCTATTTATGGTTCCCCATTTAAAGTGAGTCCATCGTTACCATGACAACCCTTTAACCACACCCACTCTAATTAACAGGATGAGACGGTTTCATCAGAGACTCAAGTTCAATAGACGTGATCTGGTGGGAATGGCCAATGGAGGAAAGAATGATAATACCTCACAGTTCTTTATAACGCTGGGAAGAACTGATGAACTTAATAATAAGAATACATTATTTGGGAAGGTGAGGGGTGTGGCTAATAATGATTGATGGGCGGAGTTTTATATTAATTAATATTGTGTTGTAGATGACTGGCACCAAAAAAAGATTAAAAAATGATCCCCAATTTTTATTACGTTTTCCGATACATATTGATGTCCTTATGCTGTGTAGAAAGTTTGAGGCGATTTCAATAAGAATTTTTCAGGTTATGAGCATTTTTTAAATGGGCCAATTTCTGAAAATTACCCAAGGCTATAGCCCATGGTTTTTTCCGAAAATTGGCTAAAAAATGACACTCAACTTTTATTACATTTTCTGATATATATTGATGTCCTTATGCTGTGTAGCAAGTTTGAGCTGATTCCAACTTCAGTTTTTCAAGTTACGGCCATTTTAAGAAAATGTTAAAATTTTGAAAATTACCCAAGGCTATAGCCCATTTAAATCGGGTCATCACCCTCAAATCTCATTGAAAAAGATATGGTAATTTACACAAAGGAGCATAATAATAATACATTAGCCTAATAATAGTCCATATGGTTTTTTCCAAAAAATGGCTCCAAAATGACCCCCAATTTTTATTACATTTTCCGATACATATCGATGTCCTAATGCTGTGTAGGAAGTTTGAGGTGATTCCGATAAGAAATGTTTGAGTTATGAGCATTTTTAAAAAAGCCAAAAATTGGTTCCGAAATCACCCTCAATTTTTATTACATTTTTTGACTTACATGTAGTTGTGTGTTATCCTAAAACACAACTAAGTACATGTAAGTTGTGTTTTAATGTTAAAGACAACATTAGTTTTAGTCCTCACTAAATCAATTAATGTTTAACATAATGTCACCTCCTCCACATTATAATGAGACACACAT